AATGTCGAACTATTTAAAATGAAAACGAATGACACAAACACACGAACTCAGGGCCGTAGCCAGAGGGGGGCAAGAGCGGGTAACCCGTTCTAGGGACCCACTTTACCCGCTCTTAAAATTTACTTAAAATAACACAATGTAGCAAGCATGCATAAAAATGAGTGCATAAATAAGGATTTAGATCGATATTGGGCAATAAAGTGATGGATACTAAAATTAATTCTTGATAGTTGCCCATCTGGAACCATAAGCTTTCGTATAGTGAAAACCAGTCGATACGAGTTCTTCTTTCCAAGAAAATCGGTACATAAATAACAATTTTGACATTTTTTATGAACAAAAATACACGTGGACTATTTCTTGGGCACTGGGCAATTGAATTTTCCCAAGAAAATCGATGCATAAATAACGATTTTGACATCCTTTGGCTAAAAATATTTTGGTCACCAAAAATAGACATGTATCATTCCTTGGTCATCGAGAAATCGAGTTTGATTTTTTTTTCAGCAAAATTGGTGCTTAAATAATAAAATTTGGCCAATTTAACACGTGATGAATACCAAAGTTAATTTTTGATAGTCGATACGAGGTCTAGGGACTGAGCTATAGTATGGAACGACACGCTTCCATAAAGAGCAAGGTTAGCTTGCTTCTGTTCAGATTGCGATAGAGGACACTAGTCAAAGCTAGGTAGTACAGAGGACCAAGATCTAACGGCGAGTCAAGACTTGCTCATTTTTGTTTAATTTCAAAATCCAGGGACGAACTGCGAAACAACAAAAACGCAAAATCTGGGCCTGATACTACAATACTGCCTTTTCTAAACCCAAACATGTATCAAAAGAACATAATCAATGAGATATATAGGGTGGTTCAAATTTGTGGCTCATCATTGAAATTCCGTAACGGCGAGATATGCAGTGTAGGTTAAATGGGGGTATTGTTTCCTCTTTTTTTGACTAAAAAACGTGTTTGAAAGTTTTTTGAAAATAACCATGAACATTTCGTTTTCAATTTTCCTAGCTTAAACGGTTGGAAATGGACGTTTCCCATTAACATCCTCTATGAGCACTGTTCCTTTCTTATTTCCTATGGACACCATATTGGATTTTTACGGAATGATAAAAAAACAAATTCATTTGAATGGATCGCCTTCAAAGCCATGTTGGTTCAGCAAGATCTAGTTACCTGTGGACGTGTGACACGTCATTGTTCTTCTTTTTTGTTCTCTATCTCGATCCATAAAAATTCAATATGGCGTCCATAAGAAACAAGAAAGTAGTAATAATGTAGCTTCTTCCTACATCTAGTGTTTTATGAAAATTCTTATAAATTCTCAGAAAAAAGTGCCCATAGAAGGTGCTAACGGGAACCGTACATTTCCGACCGTTTAAGATAGGAAAAAATGAAAACGAAATTCTGTTTAGTTTTTCAGTGAGATATTTTCAAAGATTTTTCAAAAATTTTGAATGCTTTTTTTAGTCATAAAAAGGGGCAATTTTGCCCCTATTGAACCTATAATGGTATCCCATCTCACCGTTAGGGATATCCCAATGGTGTGTCACGAATTTGAAACACCCTGTACACCAATTAATTTACACTACCTTGTGATTTTATTGTGTTGACACTACAATTTTTTGAGAACATTTTTACTAGGAGAACAGAGCACGTTTTCGAGGGGAATAAAAGGCTCATATTTACCAATCACTATCACGGAACCAGTCAATTCTTTTCAGAAGGGGTGTTTAAACTTAGATGAAAATAATAAAATCACAAAACAAGTAGGTACTTACTATACAAAAAACCAAATGACGAAACTATATAGAATAGAAGCAAATTTGGTGAAACAGAAGCAATCGGAAAAATTTCTGTGGCTAGCACAGATACCATCCGCAAAATTGTCCATGCGCGATTCTGCCCAAAAGCGATTCCTTTTATGTCTAAGAATACGTGTCCCCAATTTTAATCCAATCGGTTCAGCCCCTGGTTCAGCCGTTTAGCCGGAAATGAAAGTACAGACAGACATACCTACAGATCGACATCATCGGGATTTTGTTTGATTCAGAATCCTGGTGGTTCAAAAAAGTATATGCGCCGTGAAATAAAAGTATTATGCTATACAGTTTTTCTTAAGAGAAGCGAGTATTCCCCAAACCAAATCGGGAGTACAATATCTTGTTGGGCAATATTTTATTTTAAATCAAAAGAAGGGAACAACTCAACGATCCGCATAATTAGGATTGAGCCGTGGAAATAATTTCTTGATGTCAAAACTAACTTCACTTTCAAATGCAGCAAAAAGGAAATTTTGCACTGTTACAGTTTTCTTCTCAATTCATGCAAAGATAAAGGAGAAATTTATTACCATAACCCACATTCCCACCTCTTCACCTTATTTCATTCGTTGGAAAGGGCATATTTTTTCAGGAAAATGCTGTTCCGTAAAAAAATATTTTCGGGTGCATTGGAAAGCGCAAATACCGGCACCAAGAGCCCTCCGAGTTATTTTGATCATGTGTTTTCCACAATTTCGATTGGGTAATAAAATGCGAGCGGTAGTAGCGCAAAATTGACTTTATTGCGCTAGACAGTTCATAATTTCAACAGCAAAGAGAAAAATTTTAGACTTGATTTGGAGGGGGGTGCGGGCTCAAGCAAGTTCTTCTCCATTTTAACACATATCTTTGAGAAAAAGGGTAATAGGTAGTACTATAGTAATATATAGCACCGGTGTGGGTCAAAATCGCGGGTTTTTTGCAATATATTATAAATGCGAATGTGCAGGTATAACGAGTGGGTAAGAGTCATTAAGATGATCCTCCGCTCCGCTTTAGAAAGTAAAAAATGTGTAAACAATAATATAGCAAATGAGCTCTAGCTTGGTATTATATGGCTAAAACTATGCTTTCTGTCCGTCGTCTGTGTATACATGATTTCTCGCGAATGGTTTCCATTTTTTTCGAAATTCGAATTTCGAATTTCCAAATTGACAAGAAAGTCAGGAAAATGTACAATTAAAATAAAAATAAGGAATTCGCATTTCTTATCGATAAACGGTGATTGGTTGGAGCAGTTGCAATAAAAGACGATTGGGTTGTCATAAATCATTTCGATTTTAAATCCATCTCGGAGTGCAGACAAACCATCCAAAATGAAAGGAATTTACGCTGGTGGTGGTGGGAGCTAGTAAAAGCCCAGATTCGCATATAAAACCTTGCTATTTTTGTTTCTGACTACATTTGGATCCGATTTAGGTTTGAAAACAACGGCCGATCCTGATTAAAATTGCAGAACGGCAATTAGGATAATAAAATTAATGTAAATGTATGTAGAGCATGCGGTTATTGTAAAGCCACATGTCACCAAGTTAGTCCTGCATTTGACAGAATAGATTTGAAAGTGATATCGGATGGATTTACAAAAAAAGCGAGATGCATTGTTCCACACTGTCACATCAGCTACGTCTCATTTTCCAAACGTGAGTCGAAAAAGGATAGATATGAATTAGGTAAGCCCATTATTCGCGATAACTGGGGGAGTTTTAGTATAAAGGGGCACGAGAGGCGAAATTTTTGAATGAAATCATCTAAGCGTGTTGTACAATTCGTGAGCGGTCATATGTGAAATAGTCCCGGTATTGAGGGACCTGCAGGATTTCAAGTTAGAGCGGTAATAACGGGAATTTCAAAATGAACTTGAAAGAAATTTATCGTAAAATGTAATTGAATTTCTCCGAATTAAATTGTTCAATTTATAAAACCACGGTGATTTCCCTTTAGGCAAACCGCACGATTGTTACAGGGGCGATGTCCCTCGAGACAATAACGTCTTGATGACAATATGCCTCCGCGCACCACTAAAATAAAACGCTATCAAAATCTTTAATTTGCCTTTTGAATGTATAAAAGGACTCCGAAATAAAAACTTTTTTTGCCTATATCGTGTTTCCTCAATCTGACCGCTATGTACGTCATGAACATTTCAAAAGAAAATTTGATATGGGTGCTGTCGTCAGATGACTATCAAATTATGTTGCTCTTGCTTCCAGATATTATTTTATATTTTAACCGCAAAATGTTGAAACTGCCACGAGATAATTCTTTATAATCGCTTTTTACTTGTAATCTGCCCTTAAAAATCCCAAAAAAGGAAAGTTGTTTATGCACAATAACAGCCCACCCTTAATCTTCATTTAATTAACCGTGGCGGCGGTTTTATAAACTTGTGAAAGGCTTAACGATTATGTAATAACGATATAAATGAGAGAATGTGATACGTACTGCCGTTTCAATTTCTTATTTTTTACATAATTAACTCCATGAATGACATATCGATGACCGACTTACTCACCTATACTGATTTCGCGAAAATTAATGGAAAACTAGAGGTTTTTCTTTGCTAATACATTAAAATTGCGCCAGCTGCACATAACTAGAAAATCCTGAAATTTCTATAAATTTACGTTAATAATCGGGTAATCCTAATTTTAATTTTTGTGTAGGAGTTAAGAAGCACTCAAGACGCGCACATTATAATGCCGCACATACAAAACGCGTTTGGGTACTAAAAACGCATTTGTCAACCGTCGACATCATTATAAATTTCGGCAAAAAAATCCGTAATTATCCTTTAAAAAAAATGACATTTCACGAAAACTGCTTGTAAGTTAAGGGAAAAAAATAGGGTTTACATGTGTGTGTTGGTGACGGACAATGACGAGGTGTTGTACTTCCACTTGGTTAACTCCAAAGAATAAGCCGTAATAACGTTCAGGGATCAGCTATAAGCTAGTTACAAGGGGTGCGTGTATGCTTCAGAATTGCGTATTCGGAATGCTTGCATCTGGCACACATTGTTTGCATATAGACTTTTCCCACAAAATTGTTACTATATACTTATACAAAACGAAAGGAGGGAACAATGTGATGGGGATTTCTTGTTAGCAATAATCGCGCTTAACTTAATAGAAAACGTTAAAATGAAGGTAATTTTGTTTGCAGGTCTCGTCGATAAATCGCGTATTAAGAAATTTGGCGTCGCAAAAGGAACAACAGGCGTCGCAGCAAAACGAATCGGTTTACGATAAGTTGAGGATGTTTAACGGACAGGCGCCAGGTTGGGCATGGTACCCTGGTGCGACGCCGACTCCACACCTCGGCTTACCGCCGGCACCCGCTGCACTTACGACGCAAATCACTAGAGACGATTTACAGAAAAGAGGTAAGGGTTCGAAAGTGGAAAATTTGTGACAGTTAGTGGTGGTGCCATTGAAATCATATAGAGACTTTGATACCTGGTGGATTTTGAGCATAAAAATATAGCGAATCGAATTAATTCCAACTTAATTCGTGGCTGAGCGACTCAAAAAATCCAGAGATGTATACTATCTACATGTCTTCATGGACTTAATATTGTTTGATTTAACGTGAGGTAATTGTCCTATTAGTCGTTTTCTCTGGGAACATGATTTTTCTACCCTCGCTTTGGAGTACACACGAAAACATCGGAAAACTGAACGAAGAAAGGTGTTGAAGGTGTACAACTATACATAATTTCGAAAAAATTAATTTATCTTCTTATACTGATTTTCGATTATAAAGTTGTTTTTTATTGAAATCGTGCAAAAAGATTTTATATTTTTGCATTTCAGTTTCGAAAAACGCAATGGCGACGTAAAATTGTTTGGCTCACTTACAAATTGATTGCCGAACCCATAGCACCATGAATACATAAAGATGAACGATTAATTTAAATTTACAATATCCCCCCTCTAACTCATGTCCTCAGGTTTTGCACAAATAAGTTTAATATAAAAGTTGTTTGCACACTTGGAAATTTGCTAGTATTATTTATACAGGGTGTCCCTAAAGCGGTCCACATCTTAAACTTGGAAATTCTAAATGAGACACCCTGTATTTTTTTTTGATTTTTAGAATCTACGTTAAGTTCTAAGATCTATATTATCCTTAATTATTTTTGAGATAAAGGCTGTTGAATTTTATTCCCTTTTTGCTGTCCTTTTCTTCTAATTATTTTTTTACATACAGGAAAACGGTTTCAAATATATCTGCCTCACTTTAAACTATATTGTTAGTTTAATAAGAAAATAAATGAAAAATTAAGCATAATGAGACGCTTGACAATAATAACATATTTGTTTTTGCATTTTTATAATTATTACAATGTCTACTCAGACTGAAGCTTCATTTCATATAGTGTTACATGCACTTTAAGCACACGCAACAAAATTACCGTTAGTTACGAACGGTAAGCTCAGGTTAATCTGTGGCTCAGGTAAAGTAGATATGGGTCGGGGTGATGGCTAGTCCACAAAGCAACAATAAGTAAGTACTTAAACTAGATAGGCGCCATTTAGTCTTAAAGACAATTTAAAAGAGGAAAAATACTTAGTGAGAGGGAACCATTCAGAGATCAAACTAGGTAAGAGATTTTTGTTCTGTTCTTGATAAAGCTAAAAGGATAAAGAAATTGAATGGGTGGAACATAAGCAATAACGGTACCTAGTCAAAGAATAATTGAAATGGCAACTTAATTCAAGAATATAAAAAGTGGTTTCCAAACGTTTCAAAGAGAAGGTGAAATTATTTGAGTCAAAATTTAAAAAGTAACTTACAGAATGGAACTACTCGTTGTAAGAAAATAATTATCACTTCCGTCCGCAGGATTAAACTTCTTTAAATGGCTATCACAAAAAATATATTATTTACAATTCGCCTGTATTGACGAAATTAAAATATTGCCTTTGAACACTGGCCACGGATCTGAATTCAAAAGGGTGCTCTCTGCCACTAATCTACAATCATACAAAAACACAACAACAAAAAAGAAAGGGGTGGGGTAGTGAATAAATCTAACGTTTATTACGTCAGGCAACTGGAATACGAAAAACCGCAATTAGCATTCAATGGAAAGCAATAGCTATTCTTCAAAAGGATATCGTAACCGTTGCGATTAAGGAGCAATACTTCAGGTGTAAATAATTTGTATGTAGGTTAGGAGTCAGGAGATTATGAGCCGTGTTCTCCATAAGATCGCGGTCAAGAAATTTTCCAAAGGGCTTGCTTGCCCGAGATATATACAGATGGTAGTAACTAAATGGAATATAACAATTTAAAAAAAAACGTTACAATTGTTATCAAAATATAAAGCCTCAAATTTAGATTCTTTCATAGTTCAATAGGCTTTACTTCGAAAACGATAAAAAATAGTATAGTTCTATCTTGTGTAGATTTGTCTTAGTATTCAGCGTAAATTCTGAAAATTGAATAAAATACGGGGTCGTTTAGAATTTTCAAGTTAGGGGCTTTGGACCGCTTTTGGAACACTATCTATCTACTTGCCCGAGAAATATACAGATGGTGTAACGGTAACTAGATGGAATATAACAATTTTTAAAAAACGTTACAATAGTTATCAAAATACAAAGCCTCAAATTTAGATTCTTTTATAGTTCAATAGCTTTTGGAATACCATCTATAAATAGCACTACCAAATTTGAAAAGTTATGCTTAGGTCAAACAACTGTTGGATTAAACTTATTATCACTTAGTTACAATATAATCGCAAGGGGATGAAGTCACCTTGGTTTCCACCACCAATCCAGTGTATTTGGTTAAAACATGGCGGATCTTCTAATCATCAATATAAAATAACACCACCGTTTGGCCACACTGTAAGAATTCTGGTATGCTATGTCATCTTTGGTACTTTTGTGGTATTGAACACCACAGTATTTTGAAAAGCATCGTGTTAGGTATTAGGTATTACCATTTGTGAAGTTCACTCAGCGGTTATTATTTAGGAAATAATTTAGTGACTGACTGATTTGGTATCGTGAAGTCCATTATGTGCTCGTGCTGAATCAGCAGCTGATGTTTTAGGAGTTCAGATTAATATCTTAGGCTTATAGTTATTTACATAATAAGTCATGAAAGTGGTCGTTTACATGACGCGGAGGCTTATTTAAAAGTACGAGGACGTCCGAGTATCTCTTTAATGCCTCCAAGTCATGTGGACTCACTTTCATGACGTAGTGCAATATGCGCTCCCCACAAAGTCAAGAAAGAGGTACGAAAAGGCATACAAACCTATAAAGGAATAATTACTTCCACAAATATTTCATTAATTGTTAGTAATTAAAAAACCATTATCCTTTGTGTAGGTATATTAATATTTAAAAATATCCACATAGTCTGCATTATAATTATCCAATCGTTGATTGAATAACTTATTCAATGAACGATCTAATTGTTATTTTGCATGTACTAAGACGGTAATGGGAGTGAGGCAAAAATATTACAGTACTAGTCAGGTAAAGATCAACTTTCTAATGTCAAAATAGCCCTGAAATTTAGATTTTCTTGACGGTTTCAGGTAAAAGCTTTTTAAAGCTAAGGTTTTGCCTCAAATAAATTTAAGACGCGAAGCACTTGGTTCAAGGTATAGGCTCTTGAATCTTGATTTACTTTTTTGTTTCCATATGCTTTTGCCTTAGTCTGCAAAATGCAAAAAATTTGTGTCCCAACATGGCGAATCTTCAAGCAGGTTTGCCAAACAAAAATTACAATCTCAACTCAACTTTGAACGAAAATACTGAATCCAAAATCGATCAGCGCATGTGCGACCACTCAGACGAGGCGATTGTCCTAATGATCTTTGCGCTTTTGAAAATGCTTACCACTTTTTTAAAGGGTGGTATACAACGACAGTTAGCCAGGTTGGTCCTACAGAGATTGTATCGAACCATTTTCATGACAATTTTTGTTACCTGACCAAGAATTGCGATTGAATATTTATTTTGATGTTTTAAAAACTAAATTTGGATTCATTCAATTTTCATGTTGAAAAACGCAAAAAGAATGCTCTTTCACAACGAATACACTGTTTAACTGAAGCGTTTTAATGATGCATGCAAGGTTACTGATCACTACTTGAACTTTACTTAATGTTTCCTTCCACACTCGCAGATAAAACGTGTTTTTCCCGATACAGTTCATTCCTCGATGTATTTATCTCTTGGACTTTATTTCTTATACTGCAGGTTCGCGCGGTTGCCCCTTTTCGAACTTAATTTAATACGGCTACCCGAACTTTCACTGACATACCTACCGTTTAGTTTCCTGTTTTATTACTTCTCCATATGGGTTCCCTATGCTACCCTTTACCAACGCTTCGAAATCCCGATCTTAATTCCTCTCTATTAATAATTTTGACGTGAGCACTACAACGGCTCAAACCGCATTAATTAAATTTCAACACTAAAGCAGGGTACAGATCAGGCGTGAACTGTTCTCAAACGATTAGCGATTAGCTCGTTCATGATTGTGGACCTTCCGTCCGTCCGTCTGTGTACATGATAACGCACGAACGGTTTCCAATTGTGTTTTCAGTAATAGATAATGGTCAAGGAACTAACTGATGACATTTTGGTCATTTGGAATGTTTGTCCGTCCATCTGTGTTTGTCGCTCGTTGTCTATATTGGTTTGAACAGTTTATATCTAGTGTAAACGCCGAAATTGTGATCAGATTTCGACCTGCTCGCAACCTGCTCACGTGCAATTCACTAATACCGGGTTTTGGTGTTTATCTCGACTTTATACCCTGGCTTATCTCCCCGCCCCCATTCATTATTCATTAAAAAAAAACGACTCCTACTGACATATAATCCCAAATCAACCAATGAAACCCTCTCAGTCACCAATACTTAAACTGACAGTTACCATCAAATCCACGTTGACTCCAACAAACGCCGAATTTCTAGTTTTTTAGCTTACGATAATGAGGAAACCCACGTAATGAACATTGTATAGCACTTCCTCGGAACTTGAGCTAATCTCGCGCCAAACTGAAGTCCCAATTTGATCACGTCTTTACAAGACAAAGGAAAAATTTCCATGGCACATCCTTCGTCTTACTGAAATAAAGTGCGCGAGTTCTTTTGGAAAATTATTGACTTATAAAAGAACAATGCATTTTTACACAAAAATAGTGATTCCCAAAATTCCTTCCTTCATCATTCACACCAAAGAACCCAGCAGCTAACCATCCCTCCGTAATATTCGAAAACTCGCTCAGTTCAAAAAGAAGCGCCTTGGGTCCCTGACTTCTGATATTAACTTTGAAACAAAACTTGAACGCAAATTGGGAATGGAAAATGAATTTCGCTTCAGATGACTGTATCAGCATGTTTTAGCATTG